GAGCAGAACAAAATCTCTTCAACAGTTTCAGGAATTCCTAATTAGCCATAAAATTAACCAATGAAATTAACAAGTTAATTTACATACAAACACTTCAATGAAATTTATATTTGCTGGAATTGTGCTGTATACAACGTAGGCTTTGGTTTAATCAATCAAGTTCTGTGTCTACTGTATGTCTAGTCTTCAATTTTTTAACCTAATCAAGTCCTGTGTCTGCTGTATAATCATTTAAAAGATGTTACCATTTTGGGCAGATATACATCAAATGCTGTGCCTTTTAACCTATGTTTAAATTTTTTTAATGATGATAATGAAAATAAGTCACATTTGAGCTAATACTTTTAAGGGCTGTCAATTGTACATACCTAGTTATAATCCTTAATGAAGAATTCCTGAAATAAGGTGTAGAATTTAAAGTGAAATGTGCACCTAATTTGGTGCAAATTACTCGCATTTTTGATGAGGGCCGTTATAAACTGCAAAAAACAGGTGATTTCATCTGTAATTTCTGGAATCAGAAGAAATTCAACTATAATAATGAGTAATTCTATATTCTAAGAAATCTTAATGGTGACTGCTAGAGCTCAGATAGAAGTTGTTTGTTTGAAAAAAATCTGTGCAACTGCAAATCTTTAATAATCCAAAGTGCTTAACATAAAGGGTGCTGAGAGATAATAACGTTCTAGGCCCTACATAGAGCAAAAAGTGTGAATTAGTATATGAAATGAAACGAGGGAATGTGGGAAGAGAATTAGGTTGTAATTCAAGTTTACTGTAACTAAACCTCAATTCATAGTTGAGGTAATTTCAGGCCTGCACAGCAGTAATTACAGATAACAAGGTGTTCAGTGTATGTTAATTCAGAGGCATACAGGTCAAGGCTCACACATTCGGCGCGAGACTCACGCATTAGAGGTCTGTCTAACACTCACGCTTAAGAAGGACCAAAATTTCGAGCATAAATGTAATAATGCCTATAATAAAAAATATATGTATAATTTCTAGCTTTCTCGCTAAATATTCATTATCTAATGTACTTAAAGTAGGATTGTTTTGTTATTATAAGGTTAGTTGATTTGGCTTTCTATTTTTGATTATGGATTGCCGAAATATGCATTCTCAAGAAAAAATGTGTGATTCTTAACAGATTTTCAGTTGTAAATACAACCATAAAGTAGCAAAGAATGCATTTCCGGGTATCAAGGGAAAAACATTCAGGGGAGGGGAATGCCTTGACATCCCCAACTTTGGGCCTAAGCCCCTAAAAAAACTTTATTTTAATAAAGCGCAAACAATATGTTCACAAGTGCTGCTGCTGCATAGAATTAAAAAATATAACTTTTTATACAAGAAATCAGTACAGTACATTATCATTACTGAAGGCCTTGGCCTTGGGCAGAAACGGCTGCTGAATTTACGCACGCATCCCCTTTAGAACAACACCCTGGATAGAAAGCCTAGACTAATATGGCCTACGTGCTACAAAAAGTTAAATAAACTTGTGGAGATAAATCCAGGGGCAGGGTGCAGCATGAACGGATTGGATTTAGGCCTAGCCTAGGCTAGTAGTAGCAGGTAATGTAATGTAATGTAGTGGGACTATAGCGCATATACACCGAAGTCTCAATGCGCTAAAATAAAATAATTAAAAAAAAAGAAAATCCACCTAAAGATTCTATGCTAACCAACTATGGAAAGGAACCGAAATGAAAGGACTATAGCAGAAGAACCCACATCATCTTCTCCCGCAATTTAAGACCTTGTCAAACAATGGTTGCCCGGAACATAATTCACAGGCGCCATAATGATGCACGGTATCTAGGGCCTATTCTAACCAGGGAGTTGTTCTAACTAATGTAGGTAGGTAGGCCTAGTTAAAAAAAAGTAACAGTACAGAACGTAACTCATTGACGTTAAAGACGAATAAAAAAAACAACATGTAGGCCTACAAAACAAACTAAAAAAACGTATACTGTAGATCTCTTCTCGGTAAGCGACAACAAATTCTAGGCTAATAATCCACATACCCCATCTTGTTCGTCACTCGTCTCGGAATACCAGTCAAGTCGCCCCCTTGCAAAGTCGCCCCTTCTTTTCTTCCTATTCTTCAATATACGGTACATTCGACACTCTAATATGAAAATAATAAAATCCTTTGGTTTGATTATTAACATATAAATTCGCTTGTTTCAAATAGATAAACCGAAATATATTATGAATCTTAAACGTTATTATTAACTTACACAAACCTAATAAAATCCACTGTTCGTTTGTTTGTTTCAAATAGATAAAACGAAATATGTTAAAACATTTTACACAATAATAAAAAATCCACTGATTTTTTCGCAAACTCATCGGCAGGGGCGGATTTAAGGAGGGGGGGGGGAGAGAGGCCGGCCCGGCCCCCCCTCCCCTTTTGGGAGGTAAAAAAAAAGGGAAAAAAAAGAAAAAAAAAAGAAAGAAATGATAGCCCACAACGCCTCAAATGTTATTTTCGGGCGTCTAGAACACAAAAATTTTGCGGACCCCCTAGGTCATTGTTGTCTCGATCGGCCCAAATTTGAATATGGTTTCGTAGTCAGATTTGCGAGAAAAAATTCAGCTACCCGTATTTCTCGACTGAGACGTCTGTGGGAGCTGTAATTTGTATGGCAAGGAGATTGTGCAACCCTTAATTCGTATTAAGGGAATTTACGCCCAGAAAAATTGTAGTTATTAATATTTTGGTTATTATATAGAAAATATTCATTATTTGGTGACGTCACATTCACAATATTATAGTTGGCATGCATACGTCACCATTGTTAGCATTGTATAATACGTACAAGGTACCCCTGCAACTGAATTATTCTTAGTTATTTGTTTCTGTTTTTTTAAATTTTATTTTAATTTATTTCTTTCGAAAGTGTACTTTCTATCACATATTATTGCACTGTCTAGTTAGGCCTGCCCTAGTCTTATCAGGGAGTTGTTATTTAGACAAAACTCCCTGTTCTTATTATGTATGCCTCATCGTCATCCGCTACACAGTACATCAGTAGCGCCCCCTCCCCCCATACAGTACAGACGTTTGCTGGGCAACAACGTGATTGAACCTTCCTTCCCAGGTGTTTATGTATTGGCACATTGTTAGCTAACCAGTTGTGTGTATTTCTTTGTGAAAATGAGTACCGCGCGCGCGGCGTACTCATTTTCACAAAGCATTTGCATCCCCTCTTGGAAAGAGGGAACTTCGAAATAATTAATGTCTCCATATTTTCGCTAATTAAATTAATCACTATGATTTAGCTTACACTTATGAATTTAACAAGCGCTTAAAATGTACAATAATCATTTCACTACCCGACAAACTCCGAACTTTATTCATTTGGCCTACAATAGTTTCATCTTGCTGTACTATATACTCCAACATCACTGGCGCATCACCAACTGATGCAGACCATTTCCGGTCACACATTACTCTCTAACACAGCACCCCCTAGTTCCGTCACCTCTGGATCCCCTCGTGAATAGCTCGCATGTTCTGAGTTTCTGACCATGCCATGTTCTCACCTACCTCTGACTGCGCCCATGCATATTTTGACCAATCAAAGTCCAGAAAACTCGCTGCAGTAAATTTATAATTGAACCTAGGTCCATGATTGAACTGCAGAAGCAAGGTCGACTTTTAACTGGTTCAAGAACGGTACTGCGCTCAAAAACTTCTTTTAATTCCAATACAGTATCTTATTGGTGATATGTTAGAATTTATATTTCTTTTTTATGTACCGTATGCTTTATGGAACGATGTTTATTATAGGAGAGCAACTTTTTCGAATTCCAGGATTTGTCTGTTTAATGTTGTACTTTCGTGGCGATCATCTTAATATATAATCTAATACTAATAATAATTGTTGGAATATCGATGAATAATACTTTAGACATGGGGGTCCGTGAAGACTTTTGACATGTCCCAAGGGGGTCTGCGAATGCAAGAAAAGTTGAGAACCACTGGCTTATAACGCACAAAAGGCCTACCGTATGAAATAGCAATGTTGACTTTCTTTATTCAGTTTTCCTTCCATGCAACCACCTGCTCCTATGGTTGAACTATATGTGATTTTATGCTGAACTTTGATTTTAATAAAATATATTTATATATTGTTTTGACATATATTTTTTAAATTGTAAATTTAGTAAGCCTATACACAAAAGGCCTCTACAATTAGGCCTAGATGCCTTACATTAATACTCTAAAATCAGAGTTCGTATAACACATAGGCCTATAAAGGCCACTTAAATATCCTGACGCAAATACTCCAAAATCAAAGGTATTGCGTCTTGTTCGTCTACTAACTAATCTTCTGAAATCAGAATTTCTGTGTGTGTACTTAAAAAATATTTAAACATCTGTCACTTTCAACACGTTTTGTATATTACCGCTGTAACAGAAAGGTCTTCGTCTGGTTAATCATCCATTTTTCTTAATTTTAACAAAAACTCGTAACTCAGTACTGAATTGTTACCATTCATTATTATTTATTCTGTAGTTGCTCTATTTTAAAACGCAACCTTCATTCAACTACAAAATTAGTAAATCATATAATAGGGAGGTTTCGCAAGCTTACGAAAACGATAACCAATACGGCTACTCATTTAGTCAATCCATCCCCTACAGGACCATATCTGTCACAACGTAGGTCATCCATGCCTTTTACCAAAGGTAATAAATAGCAAAGATAGAGCAGCTTCCCAATAAAGTGGAACATCCGTTCCAAATGCATTGTGGGTCCACGGAGATCAATTTTACCCCATCCGCGCGGCGACGCTATATAGTAATAATAAAGGCGCCGCTCTGGTTCATTTGTTTCTTGTAGTTTCTCCACTTAGTAAAATATTCAAATTTTACCCCATTCGCGGGAGGGCGGATGTTCCATCAATGTTAATGCAAATATACGGAACAGCTCATTCTTCTGCTATTTAAGTTCTTTGCTTTTACACAAATCAACGATCATATTCTGTTCGTAGGCAAGAATTAAATGTATTAGGCACAAAATATAATTGAGATGATGACGTATTTGTATTGGTTACCGTATCGTTTTCGTAAGGTTGAGAACTCTCCCTAATTAGCTTGAAAAACTGCAAACCTGTAAATGAAAATGGCATTTGCTTTACACCTTTGTTTTATTTTAAAATATGTTCCTTGTAGAGTTTCAGCTAAAGTGGACCGTATATAATAAAATGAACATGATTGCAATTCATATCAAAATAGAAAAATAAAATCAAACTTTATTCGTTCGATTCGTAAAACACAATGTCTTATTCCATGGTACAGAACTTTGATTAAAATAGTTATAAAAACATAAAAAGTATTGCATATATTATTGTTATTGCAATTATTATTTTTATTATTATTATTATTATTATTATTATTATTATTATTATTAATATTGTTATTATTATAATATTATTAATATTAATATTATTATTATTAAAATTGTCATAATCATTAATACAAACATAAAAAACACCTCTTACTTAAAATCATACAGGTATACAGGCAACAATTATTATCAACTTCTAAAAATAGTCATAAAAATACATATATAAAGTATTTACATTATTGCAATAATAAGGCTGTTTAGTATATTAATTATCTTGTATTTTATTTTAACGTCATGGATGCTGTTAAATCAAAAACGATCAAAATAAAACATCTATAAAAAAATTATAAAACACACACGAGATAGCAAAAGGTAAACATTCAAATTTAAAAAAAAATCATTTAAAAACATGTTATGATTGGTAATTACTTGCCTCCTCGAAATGTCAGTCAACAAGCGAGAGTACTACCTCAACTTTCAACAAAAATCAGGGTCCCTCTCTTAAATAGCTGACGACATACAATTCTGAGACACATTGTGTTTTTACTCTTGTAATGGTATAGATACAAGAGAACAGTGAAATCACTGTTCCCTAGTATATACAGTAGCTTTAAAGATGTATTGTCCCTTGCTAATGTCAAAAAATCATAACAAATAATTTTGAAATAAACTTGCTCATATTGCAATAGCATACCGGTACAAATTATTAACTCGTGCATACAAATTATTGAATTAAAAAAATGTGTACCCTGATTATTAAACCAAAAAATTATAAAAATAATAAAACACTTCCAGTGACTGGAAGTGTTTCTATCATTTTTCGCTGTATATAAACTGATGGGTAGACATTTTTTAAATACACTAATTTCTATGTTCAAGTTGATATTCTTTTATGTTACTTCAAAATGGGCAAGTTAATTTCAAAAAAAATATTTTTATTATTTTTTTGGTGTTTTGGGACAATACATCTTTAAGCCTGGTTTTCCTTCATTGAATCGTTGTGCAATGGGGAATGCTTCCCTATTCGGCCGACCAATCAGCATCACCGAAAGCTGTCAGCGATAGCGTATCACCGATTGTATGGAAACCAAGCTTAACAGCTATGAGCTGAGTGAGCTCTTTCTTTATAAGGCCAGGGGCCCAGTAGTATTTCACATTTTTTGGCTCAAATCGGTCTTTTTAGTACCGAATCGTGTAAATATAAACACATCAAAATACGCACTTTAAAAGTAAAAACCGCCGATAAAAATCCCCACGATCTACCTGGTCCCGGACACAGCAACCACGGCAGTGGGCGCGTCCGAAGATGAATCTGCGGCATGTTTTTGAACAGGGCTGCCTTAATCGGGTTCTCCTCTGTGCCGTTAACCAACTTCATATCTGTTTTGCACATCAAGTGTGTGGTGGAAGAATTAATAGGTATAGGCATAATATATGAGCCTGTATAGTGGATTCTACATTTTATAAGGCCTATATCTGAGCATAGTAGAATTTCTCGACTGAAACCGTATGACCATATTTTGGGATACAATAAACTACAGGTTACCATTATACAATTATATATGAGTCTCAACTGGAAAATGGGTAACCACAATTTGGTTAAGCTCGCAGCATCTGAGGGCTTGGATAAGGATTTGTGTGGTTGCTTTTCTACCGGCCTTGCTCTTCCACAGCAAAAGAATCTGGTACTTCATTTCTCTTATCTGGCCCTGGTGTCCATGCTCGATATTATTAATGTCGATCTCCGCACTCCCTGTAAAATTCGACAAATCGTGCAGCGTGCGGTATACTGGTTTCCATTCGTCATTTGGAATTTCTTCAGAAACTGCTTCCAACTTTTCATTACTCACAATATCTGTTTTTGAACACATTAAAAAAAATACAATCATGATTGAATTTCATGTGTCCTCTAAACTAGAATTATATCATTACAACATTGATATCATTACATTATCTCTTTCCATGAAATCCGCTATAGCCGTGCTTATAATTCCACGAAATGTAGTATGAATATTTTTATTATAACTAGGCCGTACAAATTTAAAATAGTAGTACATCATCGTTAAATCTGTGTTTTATTTGAAGGTGAAAATTCGTTTTTCAGATTTTCCTCAGATTTTTAATTACAAACATACGCAGCATTTGAAAAATCTTGTCCGTGGAGGTATTCGCGTTCAACTTCATTGGTGATTATGCCTTAAGATCCGGATCCTCAAATTATCTTTGACAAAACTTTTGTTTATCCATACATAGTCATGATGTCCCTATATATAGTCAAGAGTGATGTCATCATGACCATATTTAGGCATGTCACATGTTTTTTGTCTAATAAAATTTGATAATATGGACTGGGATTTAATATTTTATTTAGTTCATTTTTAAATTAATACTGAACTTTAAACGGCACGCAACTTGCAGACGTCAGATTGAGCAATTTGTCTAATAGCATTTGTTTCCTCCTTTTATAGTCAACTAACAACAATTGGAATTTTATTGACTGTGATGTTACTTGCCTACGCAGCTTCCAAAATCGTTTATATAAATAGATATAACATAATATATAAATACTAAATATATGTGTGTATATATATGTGTTTATGTACCGTAGTGTATATATAAATAAAAGTCTAAGTACACTGGAATAGAGCAACGCCATGGAAAACAGGATGGAGCTCAGATGAGACTAAATTGATAAACAAAGGCTAAAATATAAAAGTAAGTTGACAGCCAGATAATATATGTACAATATCTACCTGATACGTCGCATGATTTTAAATAAATAAGCCTATTTCTATGAGACAAACGTGCAACCAACTACATCGCATTCTATCATAATTAGGCTTATGCATAGGCCTATATATAATTATTAATTATATATAGACTACAACATATGTATAATAGATACATAAATATAATAAGAATACTCGAATATATAGGCCTATATACAATTATATATATATATGACCCTATATGTATGTATATATATGGCCCTATATATATATTATATTATATATATATATAACATAAATCAAGGTATATATATAGGCCTATATACAATTATATATATATATGACCCTATATGTATGTATATATATATATGGCCCTATATATATATATGGCCCTATATATATATATATATATATATATATATATATATATATATATTTCTGATACATCTGCATTGCAAAAAATGGAACCATATTCATGCATGTGGGTTTGGACAAATAGGATCTTAGGAGGAGACATAATTTGGGGAGCGGCCGAGTGGGGGGTCCCAAGTGAAGGGGGGGGGGGGCATGTGAGGTGTTGCCCCGGGGCCCTAACTGGCTCTCGACGCCACTGTTTAAGCCTGTCGCACACGAGAGCTATCTGCTTACGCCAAGTGTCATTCGTGGCATTTGGCGTACGCACATAATAGCTCTTGTGAACGTTTTTGTCATTCGTGGCGCTTACGCCAAATATCAATCGTGTTTGATTTTTTTTTTTGACACGCGTGCCAAATTCATAGCGTGTGCGGCGAACATTTGGTTTCTGTGATGTATGAACATGAACACAAACAGTACGTTGGCTTAGTTGCAAAATATGTCCATGTTCTTATTGCACTTACCGTCGTCGTGTCCATCCTTATAGGGCCAACAATTACTGCTTCATCATTATTTGTGATCACTTTCATAGTCGCTTCTAAGAAATCGAGTCGTGTGTGCGTCTGTTTCGGTTTCAAAGTAAAATTCTCGTAATGTGACATTGCGTCCAAACAGCACCTGCCGACTGCATGAGTCACATCGACGTTCTGACGATAAATAATCAAATAATAAGCCTGTCATCAGTTTATTAATGACTAAGCATAATTATATAATAGATACACATTTATGACGGATAGAAGAGGTGATTATTGATGACGAAGATGATGATAATGATGATGATGATAATGATGAGGACGAAGATAGGGCCTATATAAAATAATATATTCCTATATTTATATAGCGTCTATTATTATTATTATTATTAATATTATTATTATTAATATTATTAATAATAATATTATTATTATTATTATTATTATCATTATTATTATTATTATTATTCTTTTGTATTGTGTTTATTTTTAGTTTTACTAATATTAATAATATTAATATGCTAATAATAATAATAAGTAAGAATATTATTATTATTATTATTATTATCATCACCATCATTATTAGTAATTTGTAAATAAAAATGTAAAATATATATTTTGATTTTTTTTTTAACTGAATTTTAATGTTTAGGCTAATGTGCCATTAACTAATGCCATTGATAAAGTAGCACTCGGAACTGAAAATAATAACGGCTTAGCTGTAAATTCTAATTATGAATAATTAATTTGTAAATAAATTGTTAAATCTAAATTTTGAATGATCATTGTTATAAATTAAATTTTAATGTTTTACCATAATGTTTGTGTTTTGTGTTTGTTTCCCGTTTTCAATGTTCGAATTGACATTTTTCCTACGGAGGCCTGTTAATTCAGGCTGCGCCCTGGTTTTTGTAAATGTTTTGTAAATGTTGTAAAAGTACCGGTCTAATAGTAATCTTCATTATTTAGGGCATTTATTTACCCTTATAGGTGGAAGAGAACCGTTAAACGTTTCAGAAGTCCATTGCCAACCTGGTCCAAATTCTTCTTCGGGCAATGTGATCTTGATCTGTTTCGTCTTTTTATCAACAACAATTGGTCGAGGTATACTAAGAGGGTCGTTCGATTCATGCTGTCTGATCTGCTGATGATAGTCCTTTATGCGGTCACCCACATAACATCGTAGGTCCACCCTTTGCCTGTTCCCAAAATCACTATATCCGCCATACACGACGACCTCCAAACATAAAGGTGCCTTTCTATGACAACCGGTACACACGTATGTGGTAAAATGAGTTGTTTTGATCCTAAAGAAACGTTCGTCAACCTCAAACTGGACACCGTTGGTTTCCGTTGATCTATAATTTGTCACAGTCCACCGAAACTTTGACACGGAGTCGGAGCATTTGTCTTCGGAATGAAGAACTTGGAATTTCCAGTCTGGATCGAGCTCAGCACGATGTGGCACAACCAGTGTGACTGGTGAATTAAATCCATTTAGACCAGGCGACAGACATTCAACAACTGGTGACAACAGATGACGATCAGTTTCCTTGTGAAGCCCAAACATAGATGGTTTGAGAGCCACCCGGACGATTATCTCTTGCTTCCCGTGATTTTCAGGAATGGCACCAGGTGGAATGATCAGGCTTACGCTAGATCTACTGTCACTGACAATTCCTCCTTCTGACCCGACCACTGCCTTCATTTGAAGCCAAAATGGATCATACGATGAAGGTGGTTTCGGCGCTGGAGTACCACCTAAAAACCTAGGCCTATCTGTAAACTGAGTGTGTCTGTTTTCAGGTATCGGATTGTGGTTTTCTTCAGACAAGACACTGACACTAGCTGAAGTCATATCATCAATCTGATGTCTTATTGGCTGTTTTTGCTGTAACCGTCTCCTAAAACAGGTTAAAAAATGTTTTTTAAAAAAACAGATAATCGACTGATTTATCTTAAATAAAAAAAAAAACAAAAAAACAGTAACTCCGAAAAGAAACAGAGATATTTTCAGATTCAACGTTTCGATCTATAGGCCTATCACATTCTTGAAAATGATCAAATAGATCGAAACGTTGAATCTCAAAATATCTTTGTCTCTTACTGTTACTGTTTTTATTTTAGTCAAAAAATATCATCTGTAATTTTGGTTACACAAACTATACCAGAAAAAGTACTGATTACTAAGATCTTATTGCCGATGGGGAGATACCTTATAGTAGAAAAATGATACCCTGCCAATTCAAATTACCAAAGCAAGGTGAACAATTCCAGACTTTTGCAAGTAGGCCTACTTTCTCCTATCAAAAAGCTGACATTGAATGTAACGAGATTGGTCAACGGCTATCTTTTTGTATGCCTAGAACGCTAAAAAAGAGCTGATATAAATTCTTCCTTTCCAAGGCAAACAGCAATAAGTGACATTTTGTCAAGAATTGTTGGTTGGAGGGAAATGCAAAAATTGAATGAGGCCTATAATATAATAGTTAGCCTAATTTTTTGTTAGTTACTAAATTTTTTTTCTCACAAACCTCTTAATAATTACAAGAGAACAGATTGTCACCACACTGACGACGTTCACAACGCTTAAAATAATAATCAACACCATTGGCCTCATTCTAGAATGTTTTTCGTTATTGTCTATTTCCCCATGTTGCTTTTCCAGGAACTGTCAGTTTAACTGCAGTTGTGTAATATAAACTTGTTGACGGTCGTCTTGCTTCTACTGAATAAAAGAAACTATTAATTTCGTACCGTATGTATGTTTTTGTATTCTTTTCTGGTGCCTGATTTCTATCTTATATTGTTAGATCTCCTTTTAACGAAAAAATTCTTATAAGACATTTTTGAGAAGCCTATTAAACAAGTGCCATTTAATTATTAGAATATACGCTTTTGAAACAGCGGCACAAACCAAGGTAGTGCATCCGATACAGACAATACAATAACAGTTCTTTGATCCTAGTACATATACCATATCAAAAACTTACGAAAAAAAGAGATAATAAAAAAAACACATCAAAATACATACACTTCAGTTAACACCAATGGGTATTTAAAACAAACAAAAGAGAACAATGAATCTTCGGTAGATTCAAAACATGAAGAAAAAAAAGTAAAAAAAACATCATTAAAAAAAAGTGTAAAATATAGTATAATAAAAAAAATTGTAATAGCAAAAAAATTAAAATTAACATTAACATAACAAATAAATTATACCAACAAGAAAAGCATTTAGGTATGATTCATTGTATTCTGTTTAGAAAGTATACAAAATGAGAAGAGAAGTGACAAAATATTGTATACCGTTTGCAATACATCTCTTTTGTTTATCGTCATAGTACATTGCATCCGGGTTAGTACAATTAGTCGAACATATTGTGTCGTGTTTTCTTCCGCATTCTAGAAGAACAGTCAATGATTCACACACAGAGCACTTGATACAGACGTAATGTCTAAAGAAAGAAACATTTCATTGTTAAGTATAATAATATAATTCTACAATTAGGCCTATATCTTTTGCTGTTACGGTGATCACTTCGCCTATCTTAGACCACACAGTTTGTTTATTCGTTACAGTGATTTCTTTCTATTTTTCTCTTTAGATTATATAATGTACTACTAGTATTTCCATTGTTCCAAGAATAAAATAATTGTTTTACTGTATCACTGTTAAAATCATGAATTGCGTCTGTAAATTAAAACATTGAATTATTGGATATTATAATAATCAAGAAAAGCCAACTCAGACAGGACCATACGACGCAGTCTGACATGATTTATCGTTGGGTACAGTCTTAGGTCGCTGTGAGAATATTAAACCATGGACCTATTATTACTAACCTTATTAATAGGTCCATGATTATACAACATAATATTCTACGACGCGACTGTCCCCGATGATCTATCGCGTCAGCGTTTAACTCACACCGACCCGACACGACAACAAAACGCGTCGGCTGCGTCGTGCGACGCAGTCTGAATGGGGTTTAAGTTATCAACTTCCAGACTTTTTACTACGAACATTTTTTATTCATTAACAGCTAATTTAAATTATATAGAAACTGCTTGGCCAGGAAAATATTTTAATTGAAAGCTGAACTTTTAGGCCTACTTGAATATAAAATACAATGGATTCTATTGTAAAAGGGTGTTAACTCATCACATCCATGTAGGCCTACATTTAAACAGTTTTATAATATTAATACTACTACTAATACTACTACTACTACTACTACCACTACTTCTACTACTACTACTACTACTACTACTACTACTACTACTACTACTACTACTACTACTACTACTACTACTACTACTACTACTAATAATAATAATAATAATAATAATAATAATAATAATAATAATAATAATAATAATAATAATAATATCATTACTCCATCTAAAATTTCACAAAATAACATTGCAAAATAGAAACAAACCAATCATGCATTCAACCAATCGTTCATTCGTTCATACTGTAATAAAGCCTATTATTTATTCATTCTTTCTTTCGTTCGTTTTCGTTCATTCGCTCAATTATTCGTGCGTTATTTCATCCATATCAACACATCGATATAATTACAATAATAATAGTAGTAGTGGTAGTGGCAATTATAGTATAATAATAATAATAATAATAATAATAATAATAATAATATCAATAATAATAATATAAATTATCTTATTAAATCTCATTACAATATCTTCAACAGTGCCATCCGTGCAACAATCCATTCACAGATTTAATTGTTTCGTTCCATCGTTGTTCGTTCGTTTGCTAAATTATTCGTTCGTTCTGTCATCCATTCCTTCATACAATATACTTTTTCATATATTCGTTCACCCATCCGTCCTGTCAATTTATCACAATTATCCATCCATCCATTTTCCTTCCATTCATATATTTATTCGTTTATTCATACATCTATTTGTTTGTTCGTCATTTATGATGTATTCGTTCGTCCCCCATTTTATGCGTCTGTCTGCTCATTAATTTATTATTTATAATGTTCAACCAACAGCTATAGGTTTTATTGCCACTTACCGGATAATTACATTTGGAAACTGTAACTTATAGGAATAAAATTTAGTTAATCAGTTCATTATTCCTTATTTTGTAACCTAAATTTACTTTGTGAGTCTGCTGAATGAATGAATAAATAAATGAAGGAACGAACAAACGAAACAACCAGCGAACAAATGCGAATGAATAATATGAAAAGTACGACAGTAGAGCTACTGGTACTGGATATTTTTTTTTTTTTTTTTTAAATTATAGCCGGATTTTGGAATTTCTGAGGCAGGCCTATTACGAATGACTAGCAAACAATCAGAAGTGAAAGTCTAGAGAAATGAATACAAGCAGGACATTGAACGTTTGTTAACCGTATAAATACAAACTTTAGCGCACACAGTCTCTTTACATAACCTGATTAATCTATTGTCATTAAACATTAAACACTGAAAAAATACACCTATACCTGATTTGTCCGTTTCGGTTCAGAAAACATAATATTCTCCTGTCGGAAATTGTGTTAACTTCGGTCAGTGATAATGTAACTTCGTACTGATCGGAATCGCATTGGCTTGTCTTCGAACAATTCTGTTCCGATTCTAGGAGCTCGAGGTTGTCGACTGTCCATTCGGAACCCATAGGCCTACATACAACTCCTAACGTACAGATGTTAAGTAAAATAATTATGATGATAGCTTTTAACGCATCCATCTCTTAAATCTATATATAAGAAAATTAACGAGTATAGATTCTAGAATCAGCAAGGACGCCGCTCCGACTATATATAAATATCGATGATTGGTTTCGTTATTGCAATTTCCAATAGGCCTATGTGTCTGGAAAATCCCCGAAGCATAAATGCTTTATATACATGCAAGATTAATGACGAATTTGACAAATGAAGATTTAAACTAATCTTAACAATAATAGTCTGAAGATTATCATTGCATTTTATAAATTCCATGCCCAAACATAAAAAAAAACCAACATACCAAAGCAACATCCAGAAAGACATGAGTTAAAACATATAGCCTTGTTTGGACAAAAGGCCTAAATAATGGCAACGCCCATGAGCCCTCATAGATCGCAGCCCCTGGCCCACTCAAAAGGTGCCCCATGCCCCTCCTACTACACAGGGGTAGCGCCAGGATTTGCCCGACGGAGGGGCCGAGGTCCCCGACTGAGGGGCCAATGCCCCCGGCGAGGAGTCAGATTTCCCCGACGAAAGCAAAGTTGGCGTGGTCGAGCTTCGATTAAAAGGTTTTGAAAGTGGTCCAGCGGGCGAAGCCCCGAATATTTTGACAATTTATGGGTTTCAAAGGCTTATTTAATCGATTTTAGAGTCTACTAATATGTAGAAATTACATATAATTTTTTTTTCTCCCCGACGAATTGTGCTTTTCTCCCCGACGCCACCCCTGCAACTACACCAGTACTACCGGGTCTTAAAATAGTGGCGTAACGCATGTGCTTTCTAGGACCCAGTACCAGACCAAATGGGCGCCGCACAGGCTGGGGGTGGGGACTCTACCCAGCACTCTACCACAACTCTTCGACAATTCGGTAACTTCTATAATTTCCAAAAAACCAAATAGACCAAAATCCTATAAATATACTCTTTGACAGATTTATTAGAAGCTGCTCCTCTTACTACGACCAACTACGACTCAGCATTTTACTATGGAGTATATTGGCCTGTGTGTTTTCTGGAGAAACAGCCAATTCCAAGTCCAAATGAGCCCGGAGAGGCACGGGGCCCCTCTTAATAGCACTCTAATGCGACGTTTTGACTATATGGTACATTTTCTTTTAATTTTCAAAAATGATGGGGCCGCAGGCTGTATCCCCACATAACATAGAATCTGCCTCTGCCCTAAAACATGGCAATAAATAAATAATTAAATACCTGATTACCCACCAGTAGGTCTATTATGAAATACATGTAAAAACATTATATAATATTAATTAAAATAATGTATATTGACCTACTAATAACTAGGATATTCGGATAGTAAAGGCCACTGCAGCACATCGATTGGACCATAAAGAACAATACAGTAGTCATTTAATTTAGATTGGCCTTAGTATCATGATTGACCAACGTAATTCGTGATATCGAAGTGATATTTTATTAATCAATATTAGCTACCTAACCGTCTTTATACTGTATTGGTAATTTCAAGCATGTTAAGGCCAACTCAGACAGCGTCGTACGACGCAGAAGGCCAACTCAGACAGCGTCGTACGACGCAGCCCGACGCGATTTGTTGTCGCGTCTTGTCTGAGTTAAACGCAGACGGGATGGTGTGCGTCGGGGGCAGTCGCGTCGTAGAATATTAAACATGTTTAATATTTCTCACGACGGCTTAAGACTGTCCCCGACGATAAATCGGGTCGGGCTGTTTTGGCTGACGCTGTCTGAGTTGGCCTTAAGAACATTAATATCTTACTTTTTTTTTGTAATTTAGGAGTACATTATATAGAATTCTTCTTCTGACCCCGGTTGTTGGACTAACGTGGATCTTTGGTATTCTGAGCCTCTTGCATAGTACCATCATTTTGAAGTATCTGTTTGTGATTTCAACGTCTATGCAAGGCTTCTTGATCTGGTTCACACAGTGTTTCCTTAGCAAGGAGGTAAGCTATTGTAGATATAAATATTATCTTTATAGTATTATATAATTTATTTCGTTAAAGAATGCAATCATTCAAATAATCAAAATATTTAAAATCTAGGTTCGAAAATTAAAACTTTTCCGGGTGTTTATTTCATTGTTATTAGTATAAATGTGTTTCTTTTCAGGTTAACAAGGCATGGAGGAAGTTTCATAACCAACATATGATGTCCAACATTGTTGATGTTTCAGCCTATACGGCAGATAGATGAACTGTTTCGTCCGGTCATGTTGCGAACATGACAAAGTGATCCAGACATTAGGCTTAAAATGATTATGGGAAAAGTTAATATTTGTCCGTCTCTGAATTTCGTAGTGTTAATAGTGAGTCTGTCATCGTTTTGGTTGTGATTTGGAAATGGGAAGTCCCATTTCTTTTCTTTAATTCGATTCGTCATCATCTAGCATTGTTGTCGCCCTATATCGTGTGCATTAACAGAGATCACCATTAAAATTAGGCCTATATAGAATTAAATACATTCGACCAGATAATAACGATAACGTCGGCATGTCTCAACATGACAACAGAACACGCGATCATAACTCACAATGGATTCCTGTTAACAAAGCACCTATACGCCGCTGAACTCATGGGTGCACTCCCTTTTTTGCTGTTTCCTCTCTTTAACTCAAATTTGTCACCCTCTTTTATATTTGGGGGGGGGGGGCGGGGGGGGGGGGGGGGGGGGGGGGGACGGGCCCTCACCCCCCCCCCCCCTTGGATCTGCGGCTGGATTAAAATAATAATAAAGCAATGCTTCATTTTGACATTTTACTATTGGCTTCCTTCCAGTTAATTTTGGAACCACATTTCCTTAATATCAATAATTTTCAATTTTTTCTAGTAGTAGGCCTAAATTATGATGTAGGCCTACTGTATTGTGTCAAAACATTTTGAAATATCGATAAAGCACGTGGCTATCATTTTGCGGTCAATAGCGGATTTTAGCCAATCATATTACACGATGAAACCTGTAACAATGAGTGGTATTTATTGAAAGCCTATTGCTCAACGTTTATAAGGTCATTTTCATTGAGATATGTAATAATTTGATCTTGGACTTTCTTTTCAATTTCCTATGTGGTATACCACTGAGATTGATCTACAATTTTTAAGGGCGTGGTTTGTTGCCTTTACCTTTGCATATGGGATAGACGTTGAGGCTTTCCAATCGTTTGGAACCATACCATTCATTAATGATTTATTTATAATGGAACATATTTCCAGTGTAGTGGCGCCAGGATTTGCCCAACGAGGGTCCGAGTTCCCCGACAAAAATGTGGGCGTGGTCGGGCGTCGCTCGAAATCTCTATAAAGTGTTCCATTGGGACGAAGCCCCGAAAAACTTGACAATTTAAGGCTTTCAAAGGCTTATTTAATTGATTTTGGAGTCTACTGATATGTAAAAAAAATACATATACATTTTTTTTTCTCCTAGACGAATTGTGTTTTTCCTCCCCGACAGGGGGGGGGGGGCTTGGCCCCTGCCCCCACCCCCGCTGGCGCCACCCCTGGAGATTTCGCGATATATCGAAACATCAATATTACTATTTTCATAAACATAGGCCTACCGAATTCTTTTCAATATCGCCAGATTCAAGTACTGTACCTTAAAATTTAGTGTGAATACAATTTAGTTTTCCAGAAACCGAAGGGTCCACTGATTAATCTCAGATAAAATAGTATAGGCCTAGGCCTAATACATACTCCAAGTATCGAAAGGCACTCTATCGTGTCGAGATTTTATACAATTTGGGTTTTCCCATTCTGTTTTGCCTTCTTTAATTGAGTTTGATAATTCTGTTCATTCCTACTAAAATAATCGCTAAAATTTTCTCAATCAAGATTTAGATGAATATTGTTTGAATTTGATTTTCCCTATCAGTTTATTAATTTCATCCCACAGTCGTTTGAGGTCGTGTTTATATTTGTTTTAAACTGATAAAAAAAAAATAATAATCTTTGATTTGGATTTTCGAATTTTTCTCGTTCATTTGTTTCATAAGTAAACGACATTTACTAGGTGTTTGGCTGCCATATTTATCGGATAGGCTTAAGTGTTCTACATGATCACGGTCATACATGAGTCTAATGATGTCAGGTGTGATCCATTGAATTTTATTTAGCTTAAGTATAAAGCTAATATACAAGATAATTGTTGACATTGTTCAATGGTTAATCCAATAAATTAAAAAATTAAAAATTCAATAAATATCAAATTTGTTTTTCTTTTGGTCATAAGAAGCAGAAATGCTTATTATGATGGCCAGGCTCTTCAAAGATGCTTGGACCCCTGCTCCTAAACTCGGTGGTACACATCTTAGCTAACATGGTCAGTCAATTTGCATGCGCCAAGGGCCCCGACTGTATTCTTGAGCCATGGCCCTCACAACCTAATTACGCCACTGGGCCCCGGAGCCTCCAGCAAATTAATTTTTTTTCTTCAAACGAATAACCAAGGCCTTTTCCAAGCCAACGCCTTTGGGTATTTATTGTACTGTAATAGGTAGTTTTCGCAGCAAGACGTCAACCTTAACTATAACGTTAGTAACCAACATGTAACGCGATAGCTCCGCCCCTTTTGCTGACCCTGGATATTTTCATGACTTCTACGACTCTAGAGTTTATGTTTACAATGTATCAAATAGTAAATCCGTTACGTTATCAATTCATAGCTTTGGACCCCGGACGCCGTCAATATACATACAAGTTATAAAATATGAATAGACCTGATAGAGAATCGATTGCCAAATAAACACTAAATTAATATATTAAGTACTTTATTTGTAATGACATGGTAAAATTAGACACTCTACAATCGATTAAATTAGTCTTCTAATCCTTTAAAAGTACGTAGGCTTCCGGGGTGTGGGGAGGGCAACCAGGGATCTTCCCATCGACCCAACTGGGGCCGCAGGCGCCCCCCCCCCCAAGACCCCAGCTAATGGGTCCGGGCAGCGCCTCGGAGCCTGCTGCCGCTCTCGGCTGCCCTGCCCGTAAACTAGTGTACGTCGAGCACGTAAAATCCTGAAATACGTACTCCACAATACAAGATGAATAAATTATGATCTCATCCGTTAACGTTAAGGTTGACATCGTGCGGCGAAAACTACCCAATAGTTGTCCCTGACGCTAACGGAAATATTCCGATTCGACTAAACAATCAGCATCACCGACGGCTGTCGGTGATAGCCTGTATAGATTTTATGAAAACCAGGGTTTAAGTAGAAAGAAAGGGTTTTATTAATTTTGGGTACTAATGTCTGTTAAATCTGATTTCTGTTGACCACGAGTGTTTCTATAAACTACACTCTGATTCGTGAAAATTGATCGACAAGATGAAAAGAAAATTTACGATTTTTATAAAAACACCACCTCATCGGTAAAATTAATGTTGAAATAACGCAAATATAATTTTCAGTCTAAATGCAAACAATCATTAGGTCTTTGTAACCACCGCACGGCGCGCGATTATCATGGCAACTGGCACGCACGTAGGTAATTTGTCACACGCTGACGGTTAATGGTTTGGTTGCTATGGTTTTTTGACAATCAGAGGTAAGGGAAGTTATATCCTTTGATGTCCCGACATGTGCGTCCTTTTGTTGAATTGCCTTGGTTTTGGTTTTACGTAGGCCTATCTATTTTATTACCGGTATCTAGAGAAATGTCTAAATCTGCTTAATCATCTATTTTCTTTTTTTTCTCTCTCTCTCTCTCTCTTTCGTGGGGGTAGCCCACTTTTATTAAGTCTTTCTGTTATATCATGATAAACAAAACAAAAATTGTAAAGATTTTCAAACATTATGAATATTATAAAAAATAGCTCAAGATATTGCACAAATAAAAAATAGTTAACAAACAGCATATGAATGAGAATATAATTATTTTACAGATTGCGAAAAAATGTGATAATATTTTGAAATAAATTAAAACTTGCTCTATGAGCCTAAATATAGTAAAATAATAAACTATATCGGTAAAATTTATATTAAAAGGGGATGAACGATACAAACATTTACATTCAAAATATTGCAAAATGAGATATGGTATTATATATGGTATTAATCAACTATTTTTCTTAATTTCAACAAGGACACATAAATCAGTACTGAAATTCACCATCCATCCATTCATTATTATTTAGTTTGCACCCTATTTCAAAACATACAACCTTCATTCAATGATACTACAGAATCTAGGAATGCAAACCAGTCAAAATGATTTGATTTTATATTTGGAGTTTACTTTATACCTTTAAGTTCTATTTAAAAATATCGTCCTTGTAACCTTCCAGCTTAAGTGGACCGATATAATAAAATGAACATAATTGCTACAAATTAAAATCAGAAATCAAATCACATTTTATTGTATTATTATTATTTCTCAACTAAAACATTTCTTTTCAGAACTATCTACGTGGTGTACCGCAAGCTTCAACAATGTTATTACTTCGCCATGCAAACCTTCAAACAATCCATTATTATTATTATTATTATTATTATTATTATTATTATTATTATTATTATTATTATTATTATTATTATTAAAATTGTCATAATTCTTAATATAAACATCAAAAATAACCCCTTAATTAAAATTATACAAGTTATAATTATTAATATATTATTGCAATAATAATGCTGTTTAGCATATTTATTATATTATATTTCAACGCTATGGATGATCTTAAACTAAAAACGATCAAAATAAAACATCTATTTAAAAAAAACATAAAACACATACGAGATAACAGAAATTACAAAAAACTTCAATTAAAATATGTTATGATTGGTAGATTAACTTGCCTCCTCAAAATGTCAGTCAACAATCGAGAGTGCTGGGTATTTTATAACAACAAAAGACGCTCAGCTCCTCGAATAACCCTCTCCTAACCTAACCTAAATAAATAAACACGATTTACCTGGTCGGAAACAACACCCGAAGAAGACTCAGCGGGGTCTCAGGCCTCTTTATTACGTCATTCATCATATACATATTACTGCATCTGTAAGTGTTTTGAACAGACTGCTTTATGCTCTATAGCTATGTAGGCCTTAACCAACGTTTCCGCTGCGCCGTCATTGGGAATTCGAATCCGATTGAAAGCAACATAACTTCATAACAAGACATGATTGGTGAAATAATAGGTCTAGGCGAAATATATGGGCCTGTATAGTAGACTCTACATTTACTATACAGGCCTACTTTCTGAGCACAGTAGAATCCCTCGACTGTAAGAGTATGACCATATTATATTTGTGACAATACAGGAGCGGATCCAGAGATGTCTGAAAGGGGCTTTCCCCAGAGAAATTCTTGTTTTAGACGCCCGAAAATAACCTCTGAGGCGTTTTGGGCTACCAATTATTGCTTTTTCCTTCTTCTTTTTTTTCAAACTTTCCAAAAAGAGGTGGGGGCTGGTCCCCCTATAAATCTTCCCCTGTAATAACTAGGGGTTACCATATTATATCAATTACAATCAGGAGTCTCAACTTGAAAATGATTATACACAATTAGGTTAAGCTCGCAGCATCTGAGGGCTTGAATAAGGATTTGTGTGGTTGCTTTTCTACCGGCCTTGCTCTTCCACAGCAAAAGAATCTGGTACTTCATTTCTCTTATCTGGCCCTGGTGTCCATGCTCGATATTACTAATGTCGGTCTCCGAACTCCCTGCAAAATTCGACAAAGCGTGCAGCGTGCGGTAGACTCGTTTCCATTCGTTATTTGGAATTTCCTCAGAAACTGCTTCCAACCTTTCAGTACTCACAATATCTGTTTTTAAAACGCAATTTTTATAAAAATACAATCATGAGTAAATTTTAGGTATCCTCTCTAGAATTCTATCATTACAACATTGATATCATCATATTATCTCTTTACATAAAATATTGATAGGCCTATATTCAATCATCTGGTACCGTATAATATAATTCCAGGAAATATAGTATGAGTATTTTTATTATGACAGACCTATATATATACTGTCTCTTAGATTTGCTTTTTCGCTTATTATTAACCACAATCCAGCAATTAAAATTATGTATTACAGTATTATAGTAATGTAAAGAGGTAAATAAACGTTAATCTTACCTGTACTTTGATGTCTTGGTGAAATATTCTGTACCTATAACCATACGAAATGTCGTGATTAAAACAATCATATTTGTTGTTTGCTCCTTAATTCACGTTAATAATGGTTAATGGTTATGACGCTCACCTTGACAGCGAGAGGTCGCAGGTTCGAATCTCGTCAGAAGCATTTTATTATACACAATTTATTTATTTATAGGACTACATTCGTTGAGAGCTATGCTACACGATGTATTATTACCCTTTATTCGAACACTGTCTTTACCTTTCTTTGATGATTTATATATAATTCAACAGTGTTAACGGTTATCTTGATTTATATCATATGTAATTATTTGTTTCCAGCCGTACGTAATAGAGTGTATCTGGTGGTAATTTGAATCTGTTCAAACCATGAAGCCTCTGTGGTCTAAAGGTTATGACGCTCTCCTTGACAGCGAGAAGTCGCAGGTTCGAATCCCGTCAGAGGCATTTTATTACACAATTTCTTTATTTTTAGGACTACATTCGTTGAGATATGTAAACATATATATATATAATCTTATATATATAAGACTATATAGGCCTAGGCCTATATTTATTTATATATCAAATAAATCAATCATCGCAAACAATTAACCAATCAATCAATCGGTCGCTCGGTCGGCAAGTCAGGCAGGCAGTTAAATAATTAATCAAACCTAATTGAGTTGGGGCTGTAAATTGCAGCATTGGAACCAACTGGAGATTTTGTGAAGATTTTCTTCAACCACGGGGTTTAAGATTCACTTCAAAAGTTTACAACGAGATGTATACTATAGGATGACTTCATAAATCAACTGATATATTATTACACTTACCGTCGTCGTGTCCATCCTTATAGGACCAACAACTGCTTGTTCACCATTTGTGATCACTTTCATAGTCGCTTCTAAGAATTCGAGTCGTGTGTGCGTCTGTTTCGGTTTCAATGTAAAATTCTCGTGATGCGACATTGCGTTCAAACAGCACCTGATTGCATGATTCACGTCGACGTTCTGACGATAAATAATCAACACATAAGCCTATATCAATTACCCGGTATAAATATATAATACGTAAGCCCTACACAGTTATGATAGATAGATGAGGTTAACTAATGATGACGAGAATGATGACGACGATGATGATGATGATGATGATGATGATGATAAAGGCGATGATAATGAGTGAGGAGATGGTAACAATGATTGAGATGATGGTGGTGATGATAATGATAACGACGATGGTGCAATTATGATGATGACGATGATACATAAAATAATATAGAACTTTATTTATATAGTGTCTATTCTTATTATTACTACAGTATTGCTATTGCTAATAATAATATTAATTATTATTGTTTTTATTGTGAATGCTAATGTTATTGATTTTTGCTATTGCTTTTGCTTTTGTATTAGGTTTATCATTAGTATTAATAATAAAAATAAGTAGGCCTATTATTATTATTATTATTTATTATTATTATCATTATCATAATTATTTATAATAATTATTATAATCATTATTATTTAGGACCTAGCAATTTCATTTACCCTTATACATGGAAGAGAACCGTTAAACGTTTCAGAAGTCCATTGCCAATCTGGTCCAAATTCTTCTTCAGGCAATGTGATCTTAATCTGTTTCGTCTTTTTATCAACAACAATTGGTCGAGGTATACAAAGAGGGTCGTTCGATTCGTGCTGTCTGATCTGCTGATGATAGTCCTTTATGCGGTCACCCACATAACACCGTAGGTCCACCCTTTGCCTGTTCCCAAAATCACTATAACCGCCATACACGACGACCTCAAAACATAAAGGTGCCTTTCTATGACAACCGGTACACGCGTATGTGGTGAAATGAGTTGTTTTGATCCTAAAGAAACGTTCATCAACCTCAAACTGGACACCGTTTGTTTGAGTTGGTCTATAATCTGTCACAGTCCACCCAGACTTTGACACAGGGTATTTATCTTCGGAATGAAGAACCTGGAATTTCCAGTCTGGATCGAGTTCAGCACGGTGTGGTACAACCAGTGTCACACAAGAATCAAATCCATTTAGACCAGGCGACAGACATTCAACAACTGGTGATAGCAGATGACGGTCAGTTTCCTTGTTAAGCCCAAACATTGATGGTTTAAGAGACACACGGACAATGATTTCCTGCTTCCCGTGGTGTTCTGGAATGGCGCCAGGTGGAATGATCAGGCTTACGCTAGATCTACTGTCACAGACAATCCCCCCTTCTGACCCGACCATTGCGTTCATTTGAAGCCAAAATGGTTCACGCGATGGGGGTGGTTTTGACTTCGATATAACTTCCTTCGACGCTGGTATACCACCTAAAAACATAGGCACATCTTTGTTAATGTGTCTATTGTCAGGTATCGGATTGTGGTTTTCCTGAGGAACTGCACTGATATTAGCCTCATTAGTGCTTGCTGAAGGAATATCATCAACGTGTCTTATTGACTGCCTCCTAAAATGTGAGTTTTAAAATACAACAGGTTAAACAAATATCATCTGTTATTTTGATTACATAAACTAGACCACAAAAGTTGGATTGATTACTAAGATCGTATTGCCAATAAGAAGATACCTTATAGCAGAAATTTATACGGCGCCAATTCAAATTACCAACGCAAAGCGAACAATTCCAGGCTTTGTAGGCCTACTTTCTAATGTCAAAAAACTGACATTGAATTTAACGACATCGGTCAACGATAATCTTTTTGCATGTCTAGAACGCCAAAAATAAGCAAACTATAAATTCTGCCTTCCCAAGGCAAACAGCATGGCCTATTTGCCAAGAATTGTTGGTTTTGGAACAAATGATTTAACGAGGCCTATCATCATAATATCAGCGGCGTATTTAGAGTCTTGAAATGGGGAGAGGGTCACGTGTGTGTGTGGGGCTTGACTTAGATACGCCAGGCCTATATAATAATTAGCCTAATTTGTTGTTATTTATTAAAATTTGTCTCACAAACCTCTTAATAATGATAAGGGAACAGAATATCGTCACCATACTGACGTTGACACTTAGACTTAGAGTAATAATCAACACCATTGGCCTGATTCTAGTATGTTTTTCATCATTGCCTATTTCCACTGTTGCTTTTTCAGGAACTGACTGTTTAACTGCACTCGTGTAATATAAACTTGTTGGCGGTCGTCTTACTTCTACTGAATAAACAAACAATTTTTTATGTATTTTTTTGTATTTTTCCACTTTTCTGATGCCTGATTTCTATTTTATATTTGTTAGGCCCCTAGATCTTTATTTAGAAAAAATAGAAGACGTTTTTAGATATTTAAAAAAATAACCAGTGCAATTCTTTTCCGATTCTAGGACCTCGAGGCTTTGGTAGATTACCGGTATCGATTCGGAACCCATATGAGGTATACATACAACTCCTAACGTACAGATGACAAGTAAAATGAAGATAATAGCCCGTAACGTACCCATCTCGTCTATGTATAAGAAAATTAACGAGTATAGATTCTAAAAATTATTTTCCAACGTTTCCAGCAAAAAGATTCGCTCAGGCTATATTCAAATAGGCTCATAAATGAATTTCAGTTTGTGTCCGGAAAATCTCCGAAACAATTATTTGTATATACTTTAAAAATTAAAGACGAATTTGGTAAATGAAGATTTCCAACTGATCTAATAATATAGTCTGAAGATTATCATTGAATTTTATACTAAAGTTCATGACAAAACATCAAACAAACAAACCAACATACCAAAGCAACACTCAAAAGACGTGCTTGGAAAAAAGTAGATTCCAAGAGTATAATTAACATTTACGATCTAGGCCTTCAACTCTGATTAGTAATCTCTATACAGTACGTATTTGTCGAAAAGAGTGTTGTGTGTAGGCCTATACTGTATTTATAAGTAGGCCTACCTTATTTATAGCTTATTGCTTACTGGCTAAATATAGGACATATTATTACTTTTGGAAATTTTACTCAGGGCTAGTGACATAAATATATCGAATCCAAATCCAAACCGAAACGTTAAATTTAAAGGTATTTTAGACCCGATTAAGTCAGTGGGGTATCTACAGTCTTGAAATGGGAGTTCTGGGGGGGGTGCGGAGGGGGGGGGGGGGAACAAAAAGGTGAAGTTGGGGTGGGGGCTCATTGATCAGTTGCGGGCCGCTAACTCGCAAAAAAAGTTGATTTCAAGTGATTTTTAACTACATGCAAGTGACTTTTTTGGGTGGGGCGGCTGGGGGAGCTAGAAATTTTAGGAGTGGCGTGAGTCACCCCCCCCCCCCCCCCCCCCAGCGCCACTGGATGAAGTTCCCATTGGGGCGAAGACTCGTGAATATATCATATCGTTAATGAAAAAGTATTACAGACTAAATTCTTATTTACTGTAGGCCTATTTACTGACTAAACGGTTATCAACCTTTATATTTCCTCGTTTCGTTTGTGATTTCAAAATTTAATTTTTTTTTAAAGATTAACAATGAATGATGACGAGTAATGAATAATGGGAAGTCCCAGTTCTTTTTCTTAATTCTATTCTTGATATTGTATTGTTGTATAATCTACCGGTATGTGTGCATTAACATTATTTGGACCGGTAAGAGACAATTCTTGGTGAACAAACCATATTTGTGGTTACCTTTTTAGGACGTTTCTTCCACCTGGCACAGAATTATCTTTCGTAAAACATTGCAACCTGAAAACAGATAATACCGATAACATCTATATGCCTCAATATCATGACAAGCACTCAACACACGATCATAACAGGCACACAATGGTTTCCTGTTTACGCAAAGCAGGCCTTGTAAGATCATGGGCCCTCTATGGTAAGATTCAGTTCAGTTCCGTTTTATTCAACATAATCAATCAATCCATCACAAAAACTTGTATAGCGCCGAATATCCATATAATATTTTCTAGGCCTACATTAAGTGGAGGAGGTTAAATAAGTTCTTTTCTTAACTTTTAGTTATAATAGCATCTAGAAATACTACAAAATTCACATGACAAAATAAAAAAAAAACTATAATAACTTAAGCTGGGGCGGGGGACGCCCTCGGGCCCACCCCAAAAAAGGCTCACCCAGTCTCCCCCACTTGAAATTTTCGAAGCAAAACAATTACGTTCATGGACTTGTTAAAAATTGCATCATCATCTTATTTTGCCAGATAGCGCTCACCATCGAGTTCCACTTCACATTGTACGCCCATCTGGTAGATCTGTCCATGGAGGTGTGTATATAGGCCTACATGGTCCGTCTGCTATAAAAGTACCATAATGAATAATAAGCGTAGCCGCGTTAGTCTGATAGAACAATATAAAATAAATGACAGCAGCACTTCGAGATTAACAATAAAAAAATTATTCTCTAGCTTTCGTCCACACAGTGGACTTCATCAGGAGACTGTGAGACAGTCTGCTGATGAAGTCCACTGTGTGAACGAAAGATAGAGAATAAATTCTATATTGTTAGTCTCAAAAGTGCTGCTGTCATTTGTGTTATTGTATATATAAACGAATTGATTAAAATTAAAGTTTAATCGGTTGGTATAAAACCAGCAGAAGCGAACAAGGCACCTAATTATAAAATTCAAGTGATAGTACACCTCATCTGAGCGTGATAAATTAGTTATTAATGCATTTTTAATGCCCCATTCCCGGCAAAACTTCATTTTTAAAGAAAATCTGATTTTGATATTTTGTTATCTTTGTAACATGTTATAAAGATTTATACACTAATACGAAATTGCTAGTTTAACTGAATTTAGACATTGCTGAACATGAAAAGAAAAGTAAGATAAGCGGATGGATTTGTTATGTTTGATTTTGCGATAGGTCTGCGTGAAGAAATATAGGCGCCGGAACTTATATTAGCCTAGCAACACTGCTGAGGCTAGGCATAGCCCTGGTTCAATTTGTTTCAAGTGCCAAATTATTTTCAGAGTTGATCTGACGGGCCAAATATAATCTCTGGCATAAGTAATCGTTATACATCTAAGTGAAACTCTTTTCTCTAAGATAGGTCTATTTTAAAGGTTTTTGGGCAATATCAAATTATACTTTAATTGTACTGCAAGTGATCGGCGTGCGTCATCAGTAACCATGGCTTAACAGTCGTTGTAAACATTAGTGGGTCGCTTTATCGATGTAAGAGTCGCAATAGAAAAGCCTAGGCTTAGAGTTTAGATATATTTTTTGAAAAACACAAAACGTTGTGGTACACCAAATGTTTATTATCCCTGTGACTGTTTATTTTCTGTGAGTTGCGAGTTGGAAAGTGCGAGTTGCGACTGAGTCGGAAAATTCGAGTTGCGAGTCGGAAAGTGAGTTGCGAGCTGGAAAGTGCGAGTTGTGAGTTACAAACTAAATATGCAAGTTACATAAAAAATCGGCTAGTTGCAAAAAATCTATGACATCAAAATGTACAACAAAATTATTTATTTGATTGTGACATGTTGCTTAGGCCTAATGCTATTAATATGATATGTTTACTTTTCACAAGTTGGCTACCATCATAGTTAAATAATTTCTACATTAATTACTTTATGTCATCATCAGAATAAAAATCACTATGTATACTTCTTATATTTGCATTTATCTTTAACAAAATATGGTAGGCCTATGTTTACGGCATAAATTGAAATTAAGAAAAAATAAAATTATTGTAGGCCTTTAAAAAACATGTAAATCATAAATTGAAACAATTTATGTTGACACATAGGCCAATTATTAGTTCATCTCTTAAATTGATTAAAGCGAAAAAATTAAACAACACATGCCAAATCATTTTTACCTTTTACATGTTTGTTCTCTGTCAATGCTATGATGCTATCGACATGGCTCTGCATGCGCTCAGAGCCATATATATAAAGAGTTGCGACATTCCGCTCCTTGGTTTACGAAAGTCACGTGGTATACACCGTCCATTTTGTTTCATAATCTTCCCGATGAACACATGCAAAGTATATGTGTTACGTACATTGCATATGAATTTCACACATTTAATTGGGTTTACAACTATATTTTATAATTAACATCACTTTGTATGGACAGCGTATAAGAATTCATATATATTTAGAGCTAAGCTAAGGACCTGTCTCTTATACACATCTAGATGTGGGCATGCTGCATCTCTGGTACTATAGCGCCCTCTAACAATTTGTCTGCCTCTTTTAATGGTGGACACCGTAACATTGATTCAGGTACAGATTACACCATTTAAAAATCGATCAACATCTGTAGATATAGAATTACTTCTTTCATGTAATTTTACAATTTTTGGATATGATGGATTATTCCAGTTGTTAAAGTTGAAATTATTGTGATATGTAACATTTAATGACACCTAATAGACACATTTCCGATAGCGTAGGTTAAGCATTGAAACGAAGCCTAGGCCTAGTAGAAAAGTGCAGTATTTTATTTTAAGATTTAATGATGAACTCAGCGAATCCCAGACCTAGCAACAATTATCAATACTATTTTCTGTACTTCTTTTTAGCCTGCAGTATTAAAACCTGGCTAGGTAGAAGAATAGAGGCGTCGAGGCCTAGGCATAACCTAGGGCCTAGTAGTAGGCCCCGTTCATTTTAAGGTTTCAGGCCCTCTAGGCCTAGCCTAGGAAAATGCCTAGACTTCCTAACTATGCCTAGCTTAGGGCCTAGATAAAAGTGGGTAAATGTACATGACCATAAACAACTGATGATAAAACGATATATTCACAGCATGCACATGTATTGTATGTAGGAATTCCATATGTATGTGGCCTAGAGTGTACAGTAGTAGTAGGCCTAGGCTAGGCCCTATACCTGGCCCATACTACTGTAAAGTTTTTTAATTGCGCGGAAGATATCCCAAAAACCAGCGGAAAATCGCTAGGAAAATTGTGCAGATTCGTAAATGCTGCATAAATACATTGTTTAAGGCACATATAAAATATTAGATTATCACTCTTTTTTTTAAAATAAGTGGGTGGGGTGGGGTTTTTTTTTGTTTTTTTTTATTTAATACATAAAAACTGGTTTGATTTTATTATTTTTTAAAGAAAATGTATTTACAGTCACGAAATTGCGGCGGATATATTCCCCGCGCAGGCCTTACTCTACAGTCTGTTACCTGGCAACATATAAAATAGGAAACAATACACCCTATAGGCTATGCCTAGCTAGGCAAGGCCTACTTCTTGAGTACATGTATTCCTTCTTGACCTTGTTGGTATTGATTTGGACTACAGGTGGACTGGTACCATACGTAATATGAAGTGTGGGCTATGTTTGGGAACTCATCACAATTATAATATACTGTACCACAATTATTTTCTGTTCCTAAGGATGTTGATGCCGAAAAAGAATCGTGTTGCTATTTACGAACACTTGTTCAAAGAAGGAGTGATGGTTGCCAAGAAAGATTGGAACTTGCCAAAGCATCCGGAACTCGATGTCCCCAACCTACATGTAATCAAGGCCCTGACAGTGAGTTACCCTATTTCTGTAGTTCCTCTACATATAAGCCCACCTCCAAAATTGGCCCAATTTTGTGTTTTCTGTTTAGTACAATAAAATAATAATTGTTGTATCATATATAATTTAGTGCTAAGCTAAGGACAGGTTTGGCTTAATTTTTGTTTCACAAAACCAATAGTAATTTTTTTTTAATGTCATTTGCAGGCTAGACATGTATTTATGTGCAGGTTTTAGCAAGGGGAGAAAAATTATTTTAAAGTATTCCTAAAATAGTTATTTGCTGTCAAAATAATTCCTAGTTCTGTTCAAATGGTTGTTCCCAATAACTTAATATTCTAATATTCTGAATGTATATGTTTGTTTTCAGTCTTTAAAATCACGTGGCTACGTGAAGGAACAGTTTGCTTGGAGACACTACTACTGGTACCTGTCTAATGAAGGTATCCAGTACCTACGTGATTTCTTGCACCTGCCACCTGAGATCGTACCATCTACCCTGAAACGACAAGCACGACCTGAGCAATCTCGACCAAGACCTAAAAGTATGTAGTTATATCTGATTTTTTTTTGTGTTCGTGATCGATTCTCTATCCATTACCAGGTGAACGATACAAACAAAAAATCACTGTTATTTTTAATGAATTGTTTGTGCATGTCATTATAGGCTTTGACCAACGTGGCCCCAGCTCCACATCAGAAGCAGGTCAGAGAGATAGTTACAGAAGAGGAGGACGTAAGTGATTACTGATGATTAAATTGAAAGTGCTCATTAAATGAAACAATAATATCGTAAAACCTTGAATTGGGTTTAATCTCGAGAAGAAGCCCATCTCAAATTGAAGTCCCCTCTGAAGTTTGCAAAATTAGCTTCGAAAAAATGCCCATGGACTTCTTTTCAAGATAGCCTAGGCTTCTGTTATACTGTACATGAATTTCAAAAAACAAAATAAATTAAAAACAAGCTTGGTTTATACAGTAGTTTAGGTGATTTAATGCTAGTTAATGCACTCCATGATACAGATTGATGTTACAGTGGCCTTAATTATTGTTTTATAATTAAAATTTTTTTTTAATTTGGCTAATAAATGTATGTCAAAAACTAATAAAAACGATGTATCCTTACAAATTGGTTGGTAAAAAGATAGGGCTAAATACCAGGTTAAGTTATCAAATTTATTATTTAAAACTTGGGCTCCTTGATAAACAAATCTATTTTTGGCCAATTAAAAAGTAAATTTAAGGGAATGCAAAGAATACAGGTTAGTACAGTACTGTATTTATTTTTGCTGTTATTTGGTGAGGAAAATACTTTCTAATTTTAAATTCAAATATTTTTAATTTATCCATTAACATTTTTAATTACTCAAAATAGATTAAATTAATTTTGCCCCTGATGAAATTTCTTTTCTTTTCCAGCTGGTGGTGGACCAGACAAGAAAGGAGAAGCTGGAGCTGGAGCATCGCCTGCTTTTGAGTTCGTAAGTAAAGCATTGTAGAAAATGGAAATATCCTGAAATATTCAAGCACATGATTGGCTATTAATGAATTAAATGGTGCACACAAACATGGGATTACCATTTAATCCTCCAATATCCATACTTTGATAAACAAGGATGGTTTATCCTGCTGAGCTGGTCATTTAATAATTAGCTTTACTGTAAAAACAAGTTATTCGTTGAAATGGGGGGGGGGATATTTCAACATTTTGATAGTATTAAAACTGTGACCTTAAATTTAAGGGTGAAGCACTATAAAGGCAGTTAGCTGTATTTGTGCTTCATTGTTTGTAATTAATATTTAATTTTATTTGAATTACAGAAAGGAGGATTTGGACGTGGTCGGCCTACACAGCAGTAGAATTCTTGACAGCTTCAATTCATCTAACATCTGTACATTTTTATCGATAATGTAACAAATAAAAAAAATGCCTCACAAGTGAAACAGTGTCGTGTTTTTTTGTACAGTAGTTGGAAACTACCATGGCAAGACAAACATTTTACAGAAGATTCATAAACTATGCAGTCCAATCCAGTCAGGATATGAAATCAACTTCCATAAATGTTTCTCTGGAATATGTTTTAATCGCATTGACATCCATCCACAACATTGAAGAGCTATCACCTAGAATAATCAAGGCTTAAAAAATATAGTTTAGCTGATACTCACAAGAATAAATCCGTCTGCGCAAAATCTCCCACCCACCCCACATTAAAAAGTTTGAAGCAAAAGCTTAATTGGTTAAAACTTGCCTCATACAACCTTATTTTGCACGCGCCATCCTAATTTTTGTCTCAAAATAAAAGTCTTGCATCATTGGAAAGTAAGGATCCACTACAACAGTACTCAAACATTATCATCTGCTGCACCGGAAAAAAGCTGTCCTTGCCAATATGCGCATTTAAAATCTCCGATATATTGGAAGTAGATAACTTGCACGATTTATTTTTATGTGCAATTCAAAGTTTACATTTTTAATTTTGAGGTTTTCCTGTTTTTTTGGGCTTTTTTTAGTGGGTTCATACATTCTCATGAAGCATTCCAACATTGAATTAGGACAGATTGAAACAATTACAGTACTGCAAAAAAATACAAGGGTTTATGTAACTTTAATTCAAAATCTTTATTGCTGTAGATACATTTCAAGACAAGACAATACAAAGCTACAACATAATTAAAATGAGGCAAGCGGAAGTTCCTACTTTCTGTCAGAGGTTGGTAGCTGCAAACAACTTGACCAATATAGAGGTGTATAA